CAAGTTGCGAACCCTCTCTGAGGGGTATAGAATTTGACCCCCCAGCCTGAGCGATGGAGCACTGATCGAATTATTGGGAGGAAAACACAAGAGAAATGGCTGTGCTAGAATTGGCTAATGATCAGAGGGAGAGGGTATAATCTCAATCTCCCCAGATGCTCAAACCTACCTTGGGTCATATCAACTCTAACCACACCCCAAAGATAAAAATGGCAAAATATTATAGATCTGAAATGGTGGTGAGATAATCTTGGATTCAGGAGGAAAATAATTTTTTTCTCATGGCTTATGAAATTCCAAAAAGCTGTTCAGCCTGTTTTGGGAAAGAGATATATGATTAAAGAGGAAGATTATGACGGTCATTGCATTATAAAATGCTTTTGTAAAATGCAGCTGGTTTAGCTTGTGTGTTACAGTTTTACTTTTGTATTGTGGGAAGTTATCATCCAGCCCTCTCCCAGAAAAATGAAATATCCTAGGAAATATTGAAAAGGCAGAATATTCTAACTGTTAACAATCAGTCAATCAATTTTTGAAATTAATTGTTCTAACTCATGCTGGTATGACCAACACACCTTCTTCCTATTTTCCCTACAATGACAACCTTGTGAAGTGGGTTAGGCTGAATGACAGTGACTAGCCCAAGATCAGCCAGTGGCTTTCATGGCTAAGGTGAGACTAGGACTCATGTTCTCCTTTTTAGCCTGAGTGACTTAACCTCTAGATCAGACTTGTTTTTAAATAGAATTCATATTTTGTTCTTGGCCTAAACATCTCTGCCATTTGCAGCTGAGAGATTCAGCACAGCCTGCAACCTTTATTTAAGCAGCAGCATAGACTAATTTATTCTATAATTGCTCTGAGTTGGATTGGAACATTACTCTCTCTAATTTCCAGTGTTGTTTATACCCAACATGCTCCCAGTCTGTATACAGACCAGAGTAAGTGCACACACCGTTCAATGCGGCTAGCTTTATGTTTTCCCATTCTCAGTCCTAAAATAGCAGTGAACTGGTAAAATGCTTTACAAGGCAGACAAAAGCAAGTAAATATAGACAGGAAAATAAGCAATAATTCATATTATTTATATCAAAAGGAGACAGAACTTTCCGAAGCCTCTGGAAACAATAAGCATGGGATATTCCAAAGGGAGTCGCCTTCGTTTTCTTCTGCTTTAACCCTTTTATTGCAATATAGCTATATAACAGCAGCAGATTAGTGGTGGAAAGTCAGACATTAGGTGATCTTTCTTTTATTCTTGAACTTAAGGGGAACAATTGGGGGGATGGAGATGATGCATCCAATGAACAGAAGCAGGTGCTAGGAGAAAAGCAGGAATGGCGCACTGAGGATGGGAATCAGTATAGCTGCTCAGAGGGAGTGGGGGGAGACAGGATGCTTTGCACATAAAGCAGAGGTGGGTTCCTACCAGTTCACACCTATTCAGTAGAACCGGTTCGTCAAATCTACCGAACCGGTTAGAAGAGGTTCCACCAGTGGACCCGGAAAGCAGGCTCCAAATTTTTTTGAAACCCACCACTGATACATACATACATACATACATACATACATACATACATACATACATACATACAT